ATGTGCCTTCATCAGGGCCGAATTAATTAATCCGCTGCTGCGTGTGAAAGTCTCTTTGGCCTCGTAGTGCCACGGTTTATTTAAGCGTGTTTATAAGTCGCCTTATGTCCAGTCGTAAGTCGACAGATGTCACATCATTGGCTTAACCCACTCTCTGCAGAAACTTTGTTGTTCATTTACTGTGACCATCGGAACCTGCTGTGACGTCTCGTCGACTCCTGGGTACGAATTTAATCACGAAATAAATTCTAATGCTAAAATATTATTTTTACGTCGGTTTCACGGTTTGTCAATAAAGAAATTGCATTGGACGTCAGTAAAATACAAAAATGTTGTTAACCTTCTCTTGTCAGTTTTAAAACAAATAAACTTTCCATAAAAATAAATGAATAAATATAAAGAAAACACAAAAGATCTTTTAATTAACAAAAAGAATTTTGCACATTTTTATACACAGTAATAACTTTTATCTTGGGAATAATATGTTCTGTACCAAAATGAGGTCAGTGATGATGGAAGTACGATATCCTGCATCATGAGATGATATCTGTAATTAAAAATAAATTGGAAGTCAATGACACGCTGATATATATGTTTCGGGCATTGAACGTTAACAAGACTAACTCGATTCGACTTAAAAACCTTGAAAATGCTTTGGTATCTTACAATATATAATTTCGAAAATATTCATGGAAAATTTTTTAAAAAAAAACACGAAAGTAATATTCAGGCAAAGATACAAAGAAAATGGCTGTCTTGACAGTTGTAGCGCCGGGTAGTCTGGTAGAAGACTAACAAAGTTTCAGAGGTCCTTGCTGCCTTCATCATCAGAGTGATCACCCTGGTGATGGAGGCACGGCATTCCAACCCTGAAAAGAGCCAACTTCATACCCACCGCCGTAAGAACTTTAAATCCTAGTAAGATACAAGGGTGTATTTTACATTTTTAAGTTTAATATCCAATATATCTCACACATAATTATAAAAAGTGGGATGAAAAGTTGTAAAAATCAGTCATACTTCAATACATTTAAAGCAAATGTTTTGTTTCACATGTACCTGATATGAATTAATTTGTTTCAATTAGCCATATCCTTTTAGATTTCTCATTCACAGTAATCCTACCACCTGACGCCATAAAATCTTATCAACCACTTAGGTTGATCGTGTATCCATATAAAATTTCTTCAGGTTGCAGAAACGTTCCACTTCTCTGCACAGTCACGAAACATTCAACTCAATTTGAAGTTCATTTTATCCACATGTAAATTGCAGCACTGATTCAATATTGCCTCAAAACCAAAGCTTGAAGAAATACTATACTAATATTGGAGAAACTACTAATTTTTTTTTTGTAGCTTAAATGCGTCATGTTTGTGTTGATTGATATATATTTATTTTCACAGTCTATACACAAACGTTTTAATTAAATGATGTTGTTAAAATTATATAATATTAAAACATTATGTAGTATAAAATATTATATTTTGGCGCTTTTAATCGTAAATACGATTTTACATTATTTAGCGCTTTTTTAATTATTAAACGACATGTTTCGATGGATAAGACCTCATCTTCAGGTTTATATAAATTTTATAATATTTTAAAATTATTAAATACAAACAACAACTCATCATGAAAATAGAAAATCTACAAACAAACCACAGATCAATATAATACATTGCATAAAAATATTTAATAATTTTAAAATATTATAAAATTTATATAAACCTGAAGATGAGGTCTTATCCATCGAAACATGTCGTTTAATAAATAAAAAAGAGCTAAATAATGTAAAATCGTATTTACGATTAAAAGCGCCAAAATATAATATTTTATACTACATAATGTTTTAATATTATATAATTTTAACAACATCATTTAACTTCAACGTTTGTGTATGGACTGTGAAAATAAATATATACTAAATTTTATTAAAAGTTCCAAGTAATAATTAATTTTGAAATACAGTACATTGCAAATGTGACTTTGCATACCACGTGGTGAAGTTCTTCAGCCGTGGTGGTAGCCGATTTCCTCGCCATATCCTCCAAACGCGTATCCTCCATCAAAACCATAACCGCCAAGGAAATCATGTCCCTTAACCAGGACGGGTTGTGGCACAGGAACAGCCACGGGCTTAGGGAAGTGCACAGGAACAGAAACTGGGTAGGGGACCTTGATAGGAACTTTGACGGGATACGGGACGGGCCTCTCCACAGTGTAAGGCACTGGTTTTTCTACAGGAACGGGATAAGGCTTAGGGACGTGGACAGGGTAAGGTCTGTCTACAGGAACTGCGAATGGCACTTTCACAGGGACAGGGACGTGTTTTTCGATGGTGACAGGGTATGGCTGGGGCACAGGTACCGGGATTTCCTTCGTCACGGTGACTGCCTTGACGTATCCACCGTGGGCCAGGCCGTGTCCCAGGCCAAACCCGTGGTCCAGTTCGCCGTAACCATACCCCAAGCCGAACAATCCCCTCTTGTCCTGTTTCCTCTCATCTTTCGTGGCCGCCTGGTCGCCGGTTCCAGCGGTGACCATGGCAAGCATTGGTAAGAGAACCGTACACAGCTGGAGGACAGAGAGTGTGATGGTTAGATGGAGCTACAAACATTTGCTCCGAAAAAAAAGTCAAGGGCTTGAAATTAACAGACAGAAATCCACAACTTTCACGCTATTAAAAGAAGATGATGCGACATTTCTTGCACTGTGGCCAGTTTTGAAGACATTTGCACTAAAATAACAGAGAGAAAATATAAATTCTTCTTTCAACTTCTTCGTACTCTGGAAATTCCGTTGGGAGAGCAAACATGACGGACAGATGTGGAAAAGTGTTTTGACGTCTCTTCGTGTTCGCGTGTGGCAAAGGTTCCATGTATCACCAAATATTCTCTCGCTGTCAGTAAACTTCTTTGCAGTCAGTACCCACTTTGGCTCCATCTGACAGCTTCTCACTGCCGTCTTCACTGTCTGTGTTTAGCTCTGTAGATGGTGTTTGTGGGCCTATGTTCTTTCGAAACCTTGGCATCTGCACACAAGATGGAAATTCACTTGTACCTTTCCATTGATCGAAAATTGTCAGTAATGAGACCACGGAGACGTCTGTCTTCTGGGTTGTTACGCCGTGTAATCTGGTACAAGTTTACCGATATTTGAGAGGTCCTTACTGCCTCTATCATCAGGGCGATCACCCCGGTGTTGGAGGAACCGCACTCCGACCGAGAAGACGGCCATGTTCGTACTCACCGCGGTGAGAATCTCAAATCCTACAATAAGGTCATGGTTTGTAACCCTCAAATGTTTTTAATGACTATTCATTCTTCATGATCTGGTGTCACGTCATAGACCGGTTCCTGTCTGTATATCTGTCGTTTTTATTTAAGATTGGAAAAGTAACAGCTAAGAATTTGACCCAATGTAAGTTCGTAGTGCATTGAAGTCCAATACTGGGCCAACTGATGCAGCGTTGTTCAAGATACACATGAAAGTCCTTCTTGAAAAACAAATTCTGCAGCAAACAGTTTCTAATTACCAGTGCAGCTAAGTCAACGCGAAACCATTTTAACCAAAGCGCGCAGTCTCGTGTCCGACGGAATATTCTGACTGAGTCTTTGAACGTTTTACATCTTTGGTTCTCACATGTCAACAATTCAGTCAGTTAATATTTTCACACTTGGTACGACTGCTTCGGAACACTTCCAGTTACTCAGTACACGGCATATTAAAAAGCGGATATACATCCACATCCAACGCGGGATTCGAACCCATGATCGCGACGTTTCGACTCTCCAAGACGATACAACCCATGGTCACTGTGACCGGCAGCGATATCACACAGGTCAATGTTTTGGATTTCGTTTTTCGTAGTGGTTACGCAGAAATTTTAAAATAGACACTGCATCTTGCACAGAAATACGAACAACCAGTCAAGGTTCTAATGCAAAGCAAGCAGATACTAGCTAGGCTCACCGTGAACTTCATGGCTGATGATCTGTCTTGGCTACCAGTGAGGACTGTACACGTCCAGAGGCTATTGCTGTGTTTTTATACGGCACGTGTGGCAAGCCATCCCCTCGGATGGACGCACTTTCACATGCAGTGAATACCTTACCCCTCCAACCAAATGTAAGGAAACGGTGGTATCCAGAATTGCATCAGCTTAACCGTAGCTTTGCTGCAATATGGACTCGAAACACCTTCTGCATGGCGTCTGACCAACTGGCTTAACGATCAAGTGACTGAGAAACTCGTTCAAATCTGACCACATTTAGATCCTCATTTATACTCATAAATTGTATTTCTAATTTTTATTCCACTCCTTGTTTTCCTTATTAACTTTAATTCAAATTAAACCTTTTTCATTTTTGGAACAGAATTTGGTACAGTTTTCCCCATCCTATTTATGTTTGATGTCTTGTTAAAAATACTACTTGTATACTGTCAGACATGATTTGAAATAAATTTTGCCGTCCGATATGATTATACCCGTCTGTTGATGTCCCTTTGTTAAATATCTAACTCCACGGAGCATAGTATTTCTTAGGACTAACAGTCTTTAAATTGGTCACGAAATTGCACAACTTTCATGGAAACCAAATATTCAAGGTCACGTTCACAAGAGTCCGTTACTGGTCCCTATCCTGAGGAAGATAAATTAACATTTAATTAACCGACTAAGTGCGTTTGTAGGGCTTTCGTAATTAAGTTAATCATTCCACGTGAAGAGCTAAGGACAATCAGCTAGTTAAGAATTCACTGCTTGTATATAACTCAAAAATATGTAAACGCATTGACAACAGGAAGCTTGTGCAACCTGTCCTGAGCCACGTAAATTAAATATACACCTTTTCAACCTATTCGAATACTTTTTTCAACATTATTTTCCAATCCACACTTATTTCTCCCATGTGGTTCTTTACTTGAACTCGAAAATTTTTGATAATTTGTAGTGATGTTGATGTGTGAGTTATCGTTACTGGAATAAAACGAGAAAAGTCATTTCCCAGAATAGTTTTCGGATATTTGTGGTGCCGATGCACGCGTAAAGGTTTCAAGCTCCCGCCAATTTTGGTGTATTTTAGTATTCAGGAAGACTGAATAATTCTATATTCACAAGGTTCGCCCATACTAGGTAACAAATTCGTCTATCGCCAATTAAACGTTAAGCACTCTTCGCTTACATTCACAAACTCCGGGTTTTTATCTTATTTTGAAGACCGGATGGCCTGATCGACGAACTTTCCCGTAAATTACTGAAGACCAGGAAGAATTTAGGTCCTTTCAAAGTCATCGTCCACAAGCTGGTAGTACAATTCGATATTCCAAAGTTGGAACCGAAAAATCAATCATTTACGAGAAATGTCCATGGATCGTTCTTAGTTTAAAAAAACTTTTGTTAAATTACTTCTCATAACGTCGAAACGGAATAATGATTTTCCACGCGTATGTAAAGTAGTCATCGTAACCTTGTTTACGTGCCCAAATATTTGCCTGAAGTGGCTGAGGAAATCTACTGAAGGCTTCGTAAAGACAGCCGGCCTCCGAACCCAGGACCTACAGATTGTGTCAGAGGTTCAACACTTCCCGTGAAGAAATACATCGCTTGTATCATTCTTGCAGCCAGTGACGTCCTCATTCTGAAGTAAAACATTACGCTAGATGAGATAGTTTACAGCATAAGCGTCCAGCAATGGGGGAAGGTGGGGTACCTGCTCCATATTGTGAATTTTTTCATGTAATGAATTAAAACCGACCTCATAACACAATTGTCAAAGCGAGAAACATAACGTAAGCATTGTGCTATTGAGTCATAGCGTTCCGTTACTTTAGTAGGCTGCGTGATTATGGCTAGACCCTACTCAGCCCAGAGCTTGTCGCTCTAATGTCACTGAAACTGAAATTTAATGACGTGTTCAGAGGCTTGAATAACAGCCTGTTGTTTCATTTCATAACGAGAATGTGGGAGCCTGAAAATACTTCGTTTTTCTTTTGTTTGTTACAAAACAAACATCACAATGTAAATTAACAATCACATTGAGTAATTCGTCTTCTTTATCACGTGAGAAATGGGAAATTGTTTCAGTCTGTGTGTAAAGTTTCTGCTGATATCTTACAGACGTATCCGCTTGAGAATTTTACATTGACTTTTGAAATTCCAGTTCGGTCGTAATTTTGAAACAGCGTCCCCTCACTTCGAATCACACGTCAGAATTATCAGGTGTTGAAAAGTTACAATACGTAATAATTCAGCAACATTCGTATAGTTCTCTTTCAATAGTCTAATTTCAGTGAGAGAACATAAAAACTATTGGCTTAAAACAACATTTGTTCTATTTCACGATCTACGTCTACGAAAATATCGCACAGGTATACGACCACTCGGAGGATGATATTAAAATTGATCTTAGGGAATAGGGCTGGAGGGTGTTGATTTTATTTATCTGGGTCGACGTTGTGACCTGTGGCGGGCTCTTGTGAACATAATAATACACATTTGGATTCCATAAAATGCAGGGAATTTCTTGGAAAGCTGAGCAAGTAACAGCTTTCAAAAAATTCAATTTCTCGCTCAAAATGTAGGGTCAAATACTTGGTTTGTTTTCGCTGTGAAACAATAAGATAAATATAAATCTTAGACCCATTCATATCTAACAACCATATAAGAATAACTTGGGTGATAATATTAAAGAAATCTAAAAGAATATGATGTATGGATTGTAGACATAAATGAATCTTCGTGTTCCTTAGAATGCTGAGCAACTACCGGGATCTGCTTAAGAATACCTTTTGCTCAATTTGCTTTAAACGAGTACGTCTCATGGTTAAGGCAGCTGTTAAGCGGATACCTGATATCGAGACCAATCTAACCTTAAAATAAAGTCGTCTCGTGCCTGATGTAAACACAGAGCGAATGAAACCGCAAAGAAAAAGGCATTATAGCACCGTTAAAGTGACGTAATAGGATGAACTGAAGGTAAAGTTCCGGTGATGCCACCCACAACTTTCTCTCGCGAAACAGCAGTCATCAGGCGTCCCTTCCTGTAAGTCAGTGCACACGTGTTCCTTAATTTAATTGTTATTACTACTCATTATCTCTCCACACTGCCTGTTACGACGGTCATGTATACGTCAATACGCCCTACAGGTATTATATTTCTTATTCTTACAATTTCGCGGCTGAGCCCGAACGCCATTATGATCAAATCGCCTTTGGAACGTCTCAGAAGACATTTTCACGCTCGCCGTCACCCAGAGAACCAGACACCCCAGCTGTTCGCTTACGCCAGTGGTCTTCATTCGAAGCGTTGAACAGAAGAATTATTTTATAAGACGAAGTACGCATTTTTATCCGTAATTGAATATATTTTACAACGGACAACAAATTTATTTTGCTGGACAAGGCGGATTTAAAGCCTCTAAATGCAGCTGAAAAGATCGCATGAGGGCATTAAAGTTTATTCCGGCACGGAACGCGCTTTCCGAGCTTATTCGTATTAAATACGGTCTTAAAAGCACGCGCTATGCGATGTTATTCTGTTTACACTCTTCAGGTGATTTGAAGGATTGGGAAGGCAACAACTGCGTTGATGCGCTTTCAGAATTTTAATTTTCAGCCTCAATCCGTGTGCGCCCCTGACTCATAACAAAAATTTCGTCACAAACAATGTCGTGTCTATGAAAATAGAAATTAAGGGTGGACTAGTTTCAGCCCCTAACTAACTAGATGGCTTACCGAACCCGGAGGTTCATCACCGAATTAACCAAAGCCCTCCACCGGACCCTGTCTCCTTCAACTCCTATCTCCCATAGATCCCGCCTGAGATTATCCTCCCATCTACGTCTAGTTCTCCCCAGACGTCTCTTCCCCTCAGGCTTCCCAAATAGTGGACCCAAGCAACCAGATGGCTTACCGAACCCGGAGGTTCATCACCGAATTAACCAAAGCCCTCCACCGGACCCTGTCTCCTTCAACTCCTATCTCCCATAGATCCCGCCTGAGATTATCCTCCCATCTACGTCTAGTTCTCCCCAGACGTCTCTTCCCCTCAGGCTTCCCAAATAGTGGACCCAAGCAACCAGATGGCTTACCGAACCCGGAGGTTCATCACCGAATTAACCAAAGCCCTCCACCGGACCCTGTCTCCTTCAACTCCTATCTCCCATAGATCCCGCCTGAGATTATCCTCCCATCTACGTCTAGTTCTCCCCAGACGTCTCTTCCCCTCAGGCTTCCCAAATAGTGGACCCAAGCAACCAGATGGCTTACCGAACCCGGAGGTTCATCACCGAATTAACCAAAGCCCTCCACCGGACCCTGTCTCCTTCAACTCCTATCTCCCATAGATCCCGCCTGAGATTATCCTCCCATCTACGTCTAGTTCTCCCCAGACGTCTCTTCCCCTCAGGCTTCCCAAACAATACCCGGTGCACACCTCTTGTCCCATCCATGCGCGCTACATGCCCCGTCCATCTCATTCTTCTCGACTTAATCACCCTGACAATATTGGGGGAGGAGTACAGATTTGTAAGTTCAAGTTTCAGCCCTCTTCTCTTGAGATTTCCCAGAAGGCAAATCTATTCTTTGATTTCTTCTGTCTCTGTTTCTGGACCAACTTCGTCGTGTTCGTCTTTTATAATTTCTGGGTTAAATTTCACTTACGAAACTAAAATGTGTTCACGTAATGAAGTGAACTGGATGTTTTGACACAGTTTCTAAGCAAAGTATGTTACAATTCCACACACAAACTACCGCTTGTAGCCAAACCTGATAATTTTAATTGGCATATCCTCTGATAGTTACTAACAAACACTGAAAAACAAACCTGTTTGCTTAGAATAGTGAGCAAAGTTACGCGTGGTTCATAAATCTGTGTTGTACTCTAGAAGAAAACAATTAATTCCTGTCCTTTGGCATGACAGCGAGAGGTCATCGCGTCCACAAACTTTTTCCGTTCTTGTGCTCTGTACACATCACCGCTTACACCAGCTCCGGGCAAAACAGTGTCAAGGCACAAGCGACTATTAACCTTTAACTTACCACACAAACTCTGGGAGACTACAGGATATTTCATAACTGAATAAATGCGTAACGTTTTTATCAGACGTATATCCGCATGTTTCAGTCCAACAAGACGATAATTACACGAGGTGTGGGCTACGTCCGGCTTTATCCTTCGCGGACTGTAAAGTTAGTTTACAATATCTTATTCCAAGGTCAAAATCGGTGACAGATAAAGTTAAGTGGGATTAATCAGTTCAATGAATTAATACATAAAAACCGTAAGTGGGTAAAATATTGTATTTATATTGCCATTTTACAAATAAGTTAATATACAAAAGAGTATACAAAACCTATACAGTAAATATAACATGTGAGGATCTTTCCTAAATGCAAGAATTCCTTAAGTTGTAAATTATAGGATACATTTTTCGTATTTTACACTTGATATATATTTCCACTTAAGTAAGTTACGTTTCAATACTGCAGTTGTCTACATTAGCTTCGGAACTTGAAAACATTACCACTCTACTTCCAAGATAATATTTCCAGACAGTTTATTATAACATTCTTTCATTTTTATTTCACTAAAAAGATGTTTGGAAATATCCAGATTAGATATTTATCAAGAATGATATAAGTTACGTCGAACTTGCATGCAGACAATGACATTTTCCCCAGATTCATTCTGCGAACACTAATTTCTTTAAAAAAAAAGTCAAGATATGATGTTCTTAAGACCCTTACTGGCCTGAGGTATTTAGTGATGCCCAAAGCTAATTCCGCCGTGACTGAAGCTCGAACCTCCTACCTCATGTGCTCCAAAGCTCTCATGGCCTTTTAATAAGAGAGGGAGAACTTTATTTTCAACGAATATAGGCTTTTCCACAGGGACAGGGACGGGATGAGGAACAGGGACCTTGATAGGGACACTGACTGGATAAGGCACGGGTTTCTCGACGGGGTAAGGCACGGGCTTCTCCACTGGGACAGGGTACGGTTGAGGAACGTGGACGGGGTACGGTCTGTCTATGGGCACAGGCACTGGTACCTTGAAGGGGACAGGTATTTTTCTCTCGACAGTAACTGGGTACGGTTGTGGAACTGGGACCTTTACTTCCTTCGTTATCGTGATGGCCTTAACTTCGCCATGGTGCCCAGAGGTCGCTCCGAACCCGTGGCTAGGAAAATCGAAACTTCCGTGGTCCCCTATGTCAAAACCAGCGGACCCATACCCGAAGTCGAACACTCCTCGTTTCTCCGTCTTTCCATCTTTCTTCTTTCCTTCTTCGTCGGCTGAAGCCACAGCAGAAAGGAGCAGAACGCAACACACCTATCACAAAAAAATTAATTCTGTATTCATCAGAGATTCATTTTGCAGTCGTTCGTGACGAGGTGCTACGAGCAAAACAGAACTACTGAACATAATTTTAATAAACTTCTTTTGTGGTAATCTTTGTACAATGCACAACTTTAGCTGGGGACGTTTTAAGATATTATAATATCATTAAGTTGTGATCTTTATTTTCGATGTCTTACGAATTATTGTAGGCAGGCATGTGAAGTTTTGATGTCAGACAGTGCGAGTTAATAATTTTAAAAGGACTGGAAACACCGCACGGCTTTGATATTGAATTTTGCGCCGTTAAACATATAGAAACAAAGTCCTAATAGAGGAGAATATGCGAAAATGTGCATCAATAATTGTTACAAGAATAAACTTATGCTAGATATATTACAAGCCTGTATAGAATTCAATACGTTGCCTTTAAAAAAAACTTTATTGTTTAATTTACAATGCTATAGGAATTTTACAGTTTTAAGCTTTGTTCAGTTTAACTCTGATCCGTAAATAATACTACGTAACATTCCAAATCTTGGAACGTATGTTACCGTAGTCTGAAATTTTTAATAACGTAAGTACGAAATTCTGAATTTGGCTTTCATATACACGTATGCTATAATTTACATATATAGACAAATGACCTGGTATTTAACGAACCCTATACGCTTCATACTAGAAAGACGTAGGAAAACGCGTGCAGATACGTGTCTTCGTGTTAAGTGGTCGATACTGCTGACCGTTGTAACCAAAATTTAAACTTTTATGACAAATTTGGACCTAGGAAGAATGAAATAAGTGGGGAATTTGGAAAATTACATAACTAGGAGATGCACGAATTGTACACGTGACCAAGCCCAGTGAGAATAGTGAAATCTAGGAGGCTTCGTATTTACTTAACGCATATATTTCTCTTTAATTGTCTGCTATATTTGCTGTATTAAAACAAGATTTTAACGTTCTCAAATTGCCAGATAATATTCAACTCTAAAAAAAATAATACTAGCAAGTCATAAAATATTGAAGGTGTTAATATTATAAATTTTGTCCCAAAAATGTTTACGATTCCTTAACTAATAACCAAATAACATATTAAGTCTGTGAACGGAACCAGTGACTCCCCTTGTGTGCAGTGTTGAAACACTTCAGCAACGAATTAACGCCTTCGAAGAGGTTTCTCTATCGAATTTCTATGTGTATTAGTTTCTGCATCCAAAATACGCACGAGTACGCTGCACATTTTGGACTTTATACCCTGTAAACGCATCGTTACTTTACGAAACTTGGTTATTAATATCGTCCGGGAAACTTTATCTCAAATGCAACAATTTTCTTGTCTAAAATATAAGTTCAGTTTCCGCAATTTAAAAAAAAAAAGATTTACGTGTAAATAATGTTAACGAAAACTTTGTGTACTTACAAGAAACTTCATGTTGTTTTGTGCGAAATGTGAATGCAGCAAGTGAGATGGTTGTGACTTATATATATGTAGTCCTAATCACAACACTTTCCCTGTTCCCTCCCTCTTATTTTCATCTGAGGACGCGCTTTGCATATGCTACCGACGTAATCCTGCGCCGTGTGGTCCAGTGACCAACTTATTCACTTCCTACATAACTGATTAAAGGCTAGTCATTGTAGCAATCCTCAGTCAACAGCTGTTTAACGCCTGCAACAGAAGTTGTCCTGCGTCTCACAAATTAACATTTCCTTAATTAACACCACTCTGTCATTTACGCAGGTCGCCAATTATTGCTAGGATAGTGACATTTAGACAAATGCCATGGCAGCTGAATTCGAGCAATGCAATCTCTTGATAGAATCAAACTAACTAAAATGGCTTACCGAACCCGAAGGTTCATCACCGAATTACCCAAAGCCCTCCACCGGACCCTGTCCTAGGCCAACAAAATCCAGTCGCCTTCAACTCCTATCTCCCATAGATCCCACCTGAGATTATCCTTCCATCTACGTCTAGGTCTCCCCAGCGGTCTCTTCCCCTCAGGCTTCCCAAATAGTGGACCCAACCAACTAGATGGCTTACCGAACCCGAAGGTTCATCACCGAATTACCCAAAGCCCTCCACCGGACCCTGTCCTAGGCCAACAAAATCCAGTCGCCTTCAACTCCTATCTCCCATAGATCCCACCTGAGATTATCCTTCCATCTACGTCTAGGTCTCCCCAGCGGTCTCTTCCCCTCAGGCTTCCCAAATAGTGGACCCAACCAACTAGATGGCTTACCGAACCCGAAGGTTCATCACCGAATTACCCAAAGCCCTCCACCGGACCCTGTCCTAGGCCAACAAAATCCAGTCGCCTTCAACTCCTATCTCCCATAGATCCCACCTGAGATTATCCTTCCATCTACGTCTAGGTCTCCCCAGCGGTCTCTTCCCCTCAGGCTTCCCAAATAGTGGACCCAACCAACTAGATGGCTTACCGAACCCGAAGGTTCATCACCGAATTACCCAAAGCCCTCCACCGGACCCTGTCCTAGGCCAACAAAATCCAGTCGCCTTCAACTCCTATCTCCCATAGATCCCACCTGAGATTATCCTTCCATCTACGTCTAGGTCTCCCCAGCGGTCTCTTCCCCTCAGGCTTCCCAAATAGTGGACCCAACCAACTAGATGGCTTACCGAACCCGAAGGTTCATCACCGAATTACCCAAAGCCCTCCACCGGACCCTGTCCTAGGCCAACAAAATCCAGTCGCCTTCAACTCCTATCTCCCATAGATCCCACCTGAGATTATCCTTCCATCTACGTCTAGGTCTCCCCAGCGGTCTCTTCCCCTCAGGCTTCCCAAATAGTGGACCCAACCAACTAGATGGCTTACCGAACCCGAAGGTTCATCACCGAATTACCCAAAGCCCTCCACCGGACCCTGTCCTAGGCCAACAAAATCCAGTCGCCTTCAACTCCTATCTCCCATAGATCCCACCTGAGATTATCCTTCCATCTACGTCTAGGTCTCCCCAGCGGTCTCTTCCCCTCAGGCTTCCCAAATAGTGGACCCAACCAACTAGATGGCTTACCGAACCCGAAGGTTCATCACCGAATTACCCAAAGCCCTCCACCGGACCCTGTCCTAGGCCAACAAAATCCAGTCGCCTTCAACTCCTATCTCCCATAGATCCCACCTGAGATTATCCTTCCATCTACGTCTAGGTCTCCCCAGCGGTCTCTTCCCCTTAGGCTTCCCGACTGATACCCGGTGCACACCTCTTGTCCCATCTCTACGAATACAAATAAAACGAAGAATTGCTAACTTTTTAGTACGAAACTAATTTTTTTTAATTTTTTTTTACAAAATATAAATAATTGCCATGGGCATCTGTTATACATCATTTAACGTACGTGTTAGGACCTATTTTTAAAATCCGAACAAGTGACACACTGAAATAAATCTTGCAATATAAAAATCGTCAGGTCCTGAGGACAAACCCAGGCTTAGACCACACCCACCAGAGATTAAGTTGGGATTCAATTTTCGGCTCTAAATTCTCCAACGCTACATGTCAAAGAAACGGTTTCCGAGGGTCGCAGGCAGCCATTGCTCCGGGAGGATGTCGGAACATTTTTTAATGAATTAAAACAGCCGGATTACTTCACGTCGGGAGTTGATTCCAGCCAGTTATTGGAAGATAATTATTTCTCGGATCAGGAAACACTGATTTTGAAAAATTCAAGTTTCGGCTCTAGAGGGAGAAAGTGGAACATTTTTGGAAAAGTCAAATTTCGTTTCAAACTGCAGATCCACGCTTTGTAGGCTGTCCGCCCTTCCTGCTTATCGAATATGGACACAGCTACCCCGGAGGTTTGGTCGACCTGAGATGGAAGTAAGATGCATTCCAGTGTTTCTGCTACAAAAAGTTATCGTGAGTCTCGGCAGGTGACGCTAGTGCTTTAAGCGAGACTTTGTGATACCACGGAGTGAAACCAGATGGCAGAGTTTATTATTATGCTCGTAGTACATTTAGTAGTTGATTTTAAATTACATTCTGTGCATGGATTCATCAAACATTGCAAAAAGTGAAGTGCGGTATGATGAAACAGTGACCGTCTTAGACATTAGTATTGAAAGTATATCGGATATTAGTCATTCCATTTCAGTTCAACAAATTTCCCAAAAAAATCGGTTGCACACAATATCAACAAATTCTGTTCAAATATATATATACCAAAAGTGTAGTCCCTTCAGAGTTACCACGTACATTTTGATAGTGTTCTGTGAATTAGCTTTGAAGATATACTGATTCCCTGATAACAGTACATTGTACGGAAACAGCCAAAGTAATTTTCTTTCAGGTTTGGACTACCATAACCATACTACCATAGTTGCTTACACATGTTCTTATTTTAATATTGTAGATACCTAAAGAGTAGTTGTAGTGAATATTTGTGCTGTTGCTTGTGGTAAACAATATGATGGTTTATTTCAGTTCACAACATTTCATAATCCATCCAAAAACTGAGATTATGGTGTCACATACCTCAGAACTGTTAATATATGAAAATATGAAACTCTGTATACATTACCACCTAAAGGAGTACTCTTGAAGAGTATTAATATTGAATCTGGAGCTTTATGTAAACCTCAAATAATAGAAGTGAAAAAAATGGCAAGTTTGTTATATTGTACAAAATGTCCAGTTACGTGCCTCGCTTTGTTTGACAGATCACACACACTTTGCCATTTATAACAGAGTCATATTGAAATATGGTAAATAATAAACTCAAAATTCAGAAAAGCATTTAATGTATCACAAAGGGCATTAGTTTAATACGTCGTCACTAAATTTCCTAACCTAAAAAAGGTTATGTGCTTCAGTGATTGTGATGCAGCATAATACAGGAAAAGAAGAAAATTTATCGACATGGCCATGAACAGGATTCTGGTCCCTCTGCCATTTCCTTGTAGCAGACTATGGGAAGGGTTTAGCAGATGAAATGGGAGGGACTGTGGAAAAGCTGGCTGCAGAGACAATAATAATCAGATTTGATTTCAGAGGTCGTGGACTGTGAATTTTATTTTACTTCAGTTATCTGAGTACTGTCTGAAGCGAGAGCTTGAAAATACACTCTTGATAGTCATCCTTCAGGTGGTAATGCATACAGAGTTTTCATTCTGTTAACATTTCTGAGATGTGTGACATCACGTATCTCGCTTATGAAAATTATATAATTTTGTAGTGACTAGCAACAATCAAGTAATTTTGTCCTATTTTCTCATACATCTACAGTTTCAGGGTAACGTAATGTGAATTTAATCAGGGGTTCCAGAGTCAGTGCCATGTTTAATTTGTGAAAATAGCCTGTGTACCATTTTATTTTGCATCTAATTCCTAAAAATTTATATATGTGAAATGCTGGTATCAGGGAAGTTCAGTGTTTGTGGATATTACGAGTGAAAAGTGTCATTAAATTCTGTGACATTGATGCCACATCCAAGGAATGGAAATAAGTGAAGTGGATTTCAGTGAGAACAAGAGTGGAAGAAGTTACAATGTCAGCAGAAAAGGTTAGTGACTAATCTTGCCTTACAAAAATACTGAATATATAGCAGATGTACCACTGAGTTCTGATTAGGATAATGTAGCCTGCTTAATATTATCATCTCAACTTTGACCTTGATTTGATGGACATCGTGCTACAGGAAACCACATGGAATGGGAACAAAAAAAATCACCCATCTCACCCCCTACCAAATGAGCTACGATTACACACTGGTCTCCTTAACCTTAAAAGATATCAAAGCAATGCTTGGGGTCATGATAACATGGGGCCACATTCCATCTCTGATATCATTGCCTACTTCTCTCAGGCGTGGGCAAACAAACTGATTTTCTTTTCTGATTTGTTTGCAAGGAATAAATTTCTACTCTTATTCTGGAAACCCCATTTTGTGTTTTAAATTTCAAGGTCATAATGAGGCTCGTTTCACACATACACGGCGACCGTCCAAACGGCTCCGTTTACACGGAACGGTGAACATTTCACACACAACTGATCATACCCGGAGCCGGTTATTCTGTTGTTTGTTGCCAACATAACTTGACAGTAAAACAAAAAGTTCTCAGTTATCGTCTCTCTAGAGCCCGAAGGTATATAGAATGCTCGTTTGGAATATTAAGTAATAAATGGAGGATCTTTCATTGAGCTATAAACTTGCAACCTGATTTTGCTGTAGATATTCTCAAGGCTTGTGTTGTTTTATACAAATTTGTTCGGGAGAGAGACGGCTACGAGGCAGAGGATACATTGACAATCACAGGTCTTGATAAAATACGTGGTGAAGAAGTATTTCGCGGGGGAATATCAGCAAACAATGTGAGAAATCTTTTAGCTGACTACTTCTTAACACCTGTTGGCTCTCTGAAATGGCAGCTTTCAAAGATTTAATTTCATGAACGTTAATCATATTTTTATTACTATACCTATATTTAATTGTAGAACAATTCATACGGGTTTTGTAGTGGGAAGACACGGCGACTTCACGGTAGACCGTTACCGTATAGACGGCACCGGTGCGTGTGAAAGCTCTCGTATAATCTTCGACCTTTGACCGTGTAAACGGAGCCGTTTGGACGGTCGCCGTGTTTGTGTGAAACGGGCCTGACAGGCGATATTTACGAACCGTACAGCCGAGAGAGGCGAGTGTCATGACCACTCTGAACTTTCTGTTTGAAAGGTAGGAGCCAATTAGCATGATTAAACTGGTCAGACGATGCTGTTTTCATAATTTATGTAGGACGCCAAGGTGCCGTGTGTTATCAAAGGCTTTTTCGATGTCCAAGAATATCGTAGCCGTAGACACATTGTTGTCCCCCTCTTCGATAAATTTTTGGCTTTGTTGGAACCTTGTTTGGAAACGTCTCCTTAAATACATTATGCAAACTTTAAACTAGCCAGTTTCTAGTTATTGCTCTGTAATGAATGCACTTTGTGTGGTAGAACATCCCTTGGTTTTCGAATTGCGTGTTATGTTGTTAAATATCAGTGCATGTAGAGGTAATGTTTATGAATGGGGACAATGGGATCTTTCATTACAGTGTTGCCACAACGAAACATTAAAGTTTTATTGACAGCGGAAAGAAAATGTCGTCAAGGAAGTCCTTGTTCTGAGTACGGGTTCAGTTCTTCTTTTGTTTCCTTTTCAATACAACTTTCATTTGGTTGTTTTTATTATGCTATCGTTTCTGATTTTGTGCAATAAAGATTTTAATTCCTGTAACTCTTTATAATCACGTGCTCTACAGTGTTAACAACGGTCAAAATGAACGGTGAAATTTTAAAATTTAGTATCACCTGTGTCTTAAGCAAACACAGGTTCTCGGATGAAGTAATCTGACTCACGTCTTTTTACACTTTCACTGTTTGTTTATAACTCTCGTGCGTTTCGATAAATAAGGTTCTCGTTATACGAACGGAGATGCCTGCAACACCCGATTCGTTTTTGTTTTAGTGTAGTCAACTGTTCGATCGTTAGACGGCTGCACATGTCATGTAGGTGTACCAACATTCCGTTCAAAACTTAGCAGTTACAGTCCTTACTGTAATGAACTGATCCTCGTCGCCGAGTAGAAAGTTAAGTTAAGTCATGGAAGTTAATCTGATGGAAAATACTTGAATTTTAAAATAGGAAGTGAAACTTTTCGCTTCGACAGAATGTCATGGCTTTATGAAATGTTGAAGCATAAATCCATTCGTGTGTACCTGGATACTTAAGATACTTAGGCGACCCGTTCTTCAGTGCCTTGAGCATCTGCGAGTCCCAACATTCGTTGGTTTTGATCTATTAGACAGTTGGTAGGACTCCTTGGACGAGGGATCCGCCCCTTGCAAAGCCTCTACCTGTACACAGGACAACACAACACAGAGACGCCTTGAATGGGATTCGAACCCACAGACCCAGTGACCAAGCGGCACAAGGTCCACGCCTTAGTCCGCGCGTCCACTGTGACGACGTGTGTGCCTGGATACTGTAGGTAAATCGCTGGAAGATTTGGCATGGACCTCATCTCAGCGACCGACATGTGAGCAAACTTCTGTGAGACAGGTTTTCTTGGTAGGCAATGAGTGACGAGGGGGAGGAGGGTAGGAAGGGAAATTTTTTTCTGCACCGTTGAGGGTAGGATCCAGTTGAGGATTATGACATTAAGTATTATGTGTAACAACAGATTTTGGTGGCAAATTCGGAATTAAATTAGACAGGCGGATATACCTGCGACTTTCAGCTGTACAGCTGCTAGGACCCTTGGCCCTCTGGTGGACGTTTGGTAAGTTTAATTGGCCGGGAGGTGTGCCCGAAGTAAGGTCTGCCTACGTAGGACAGCTCAATGCAGAAGAATGAGGACAAACATCCATGCATTTAGTGGGATTCGAACCCACGATCCCAGTGTCTGAGCGGTCAAGGCCACCGCTTTTGTGACTGGTGGGACCCATATTCGCAGAGTCTGTTTAACTCGGCTGCGTGGATTTAGAGATTATTTAATATCTTCTGCTGTGAATTTAACGTGAGAATGTATGTAAACAATAGATTCATTATATTTATTTATTATGTGTCGATAATGTTCTGATATTTTCACACACAACAAATAAAAAGTGTAACTTTATAATCTTTGGAAGATGTGAGTGATTAAATAATTAATAACAGCTTGACACTAATGAATTACATCCATAATATTTCCGTGGTGATGAAATTGATGACGATGATAATGGTGATTCATGTAACAAAAGAACTGGAGGCTTTGACTAGTTTCGTGTACGTCACCAGCTGGTTCCTTCAACTCCGTCACACGTGTTCATTTACAGCTGAGCTACTCGGGCTTTCATCTTATGAATACAAACTTCAGGTATGCAAGAATGATGAAGCAGAATTTCTTTCTTCGTCAATATTTACATGCCACTTTTGCTTCGAAGACGAAACATTTGGAAAGTCCCATGTCTTCGGTTTCCTTTATCTACGTTAAATTTGGTCCTTCAGAGAAGTTTCTAGTGGTGATGATGCTTAATGAACACTGGGATTTTCTTCTCGATGAACACAGGGACATGAACGGGCTTGGGTACAGGGATGTGAACGGGATAGGGCTTAGGGACGTGTATGTGATGAGGGATCAGGTACGGTACCTTCACTGGAACCTTAACAAAGTATGGAACTTTCTTTTCAATTGTGATAGGAACTTTCTTTTCAATCACAACTGGATATGGTTTGGGGATGTGCACAGGAACAGGTACTTTCCTTTCGACGTGGACAGGGACGTGGACTTTGACAGGAACAGGGACTTTCTTCACCACAGTGTAAGGGACTGGTTGTGGAACAGGGATTTTTACTTCTTTTGTTATAGTGATGGACTTGATATTCTCTTCTTTGTGGCGATCCTCGTTGCCTTTGAGGGAGTGTCCTTCCCCGAACTCTCCGAGACTGAGATGACCATCAGACCCGAAAGAATGTCCTCCATCTCCTAAACCATGCAGTCCACGTTTTAATGTCTTGCTGTCCTCCTCTTCTGCAAGTGCAATTGACGACGCCAGAAGAATGGTGCATACCTGAAGACACGTATCAACATTATTAATTTGGATTTATGGCATGTAAATAAACTTATGAGCATGAAAGAGATGTTTCTTAACCATGTCTCTTCTGATTTGCTACTAGAGGGCTTTAGCAGACAAATCAGGAACGAATAGAAATTGTAGCAGAAGGCTTGTCACCGGGTACTCTGAGGTACTAAAACACTGGCCAAAGGCCCAATCCTTGACAGATTTATGATGAATTTGAAATAATACGTCTTGAGAACCGACAATTGTTCAGCTTTTCAATTATTGTTCATGTTGTAAAAAAACCTGAAGGTCCACTACTGAGTCCGGGAAACGCATGTTACGTACTCTACATTATAATATCTGTCTTAATGTTATCCGCTCGTTCAGACCTGAGATTCCGATGTGGTCTATTCGCCTAACGTTATCAGAGCAAAACTTTGTACGCATTGTCATTTCACACACCCCCCTCCAATCTCAGCATTCTTGAATAGTAAAATTAGGATGACGTTTACAGTGTCATACATATTAACATTATACCAGCATTAGACTGAGATGTGCTGCATAATTATGAATTGAGTGTCAGCGGAATTACCCGTTTCAACGTACACCTGCATTCGCCCACAGGACGGTCCATTGGTTATATAATGAAGCTGAATCAGCTGCAGGGTATTTTCGTTCAATATTCTTGACATACAATGCCTTGTATAATTATAGGATTATTTGGAGGACGCCATGCGTTCATCTTCAGAGTAGAAGTCGGTAATAATTTCATTATATCACACGCATTTTACGTGACTAAAATTGCGATAGATGACTAGTCGTAAGAGACCAACCAGACAACTCTTGTTCCATGGACACAGACCAGCTGATGATCTGTCAACTGGTCAATGAACTCGTGTTTTAAGGGGCCTGCTATGAGACCCTTCCTGGGCCAGTTGAATCCAATATTCAAGTTTTGACCGTTTTCTTAAAGTCGGTTTTAATATTGTCATCTGATCTGGTCTCTTCCTTTCAGGTTTTCTGAGTCAGAAACATGCTTTATTTATCATGTTTTTCCTCAGGTAGTGTCATATTTCTGTACGCACGAGGGGTGACGCGCAAGTTATGAAACTTTCACGGAGATTCGCTCGCAGCGAGCAGCTGCAGTCCATCGCTGGTGCTTGCTACGTTGACTCACCAAAGAGCATGAGCTTCACGCAAACTTTCCCTGTCGCGAGTAATTTAAACAGCTTGAAGCAACGGAAATGGATATTAAAATGTAAGAGCCAACTTAGCTTTTACTTCGGCAGAGTCTAAACACAGTTTTCACAATCCAAAAACTATGTACTCTCCAAAATTGTAGAGGCCAGGAGTCAGGGTATTTGCCACTCCAACCCAACGTTTAGTCCGCTGGTCCAGACATTACAAAGTAAATACAGTAGATTAAGGTTAATTGGGCCATCGGTTAATCGGAGCTGCCATTTATTTGGGACAAATCTTAAAGAACAAACCTTTTTACGTGGAACTTCTCATAATTGGGACAGCCGCTCAATTGTGCCAAAGTGTTCTACTCCCGATGTGTCCCAATTAATCAGAATCCTCTGTATAACCTGTTGCACCGAAAATACTAACTAACCAACCAGATGGCTTAGGGAACCCGAAGGTTCATCACCGAATTAACCAAAGCCCTCCACTGGACCCTGTCCTGGGCCAACAAAATCCAGTCTGCTTCAACTCCTATCTCCCATAGATCCTGCCTGAGATTATCCTCCCATTTACGTCTAGGTCTCCCCAGCGGTCTCTTCCCCCCAGGCTTCCCAAATAGTCGACCCAACCAACCAGATGGCTTACGGAACCCGAAGGTTCATCACCGAATTAACCAAAGCCCTCCACTGGACCCTGTCCTGGGCCAACAAAATCCAGTCTGCTTCAACTCCTATCTCCCATAGATCCTGCCTGAGATTATCCTCCCATTTACGTCTAGGTCTCCCCAGCGGTCTCTTCCCCCCAGGCTTCCCAAATAGTCGACCCAACCAACCAGATGGCTTACGGAACCCGAAGGTTCATCACCGAATTAACCAAAGCCCTCCACTGGACCCTGTCCTGGGCCAACAAAATCCAGTCTGCTTCAACTCCTATCTCCCATAGATCCTGCCTGAGATTATCCTCCCATTTACGTCTAGGTCTCCCCAGCGGTCTCTTCTCTTCAGGTTTCCCAACCAGTACCCGGTGCACCGAAAATACACGTGTGTTAAAAATATCAGAAAAAAATACGTTTATTAAAAGTTGAATCTGCAGCCGTGTCATAATTTGTCAAGGAATTGTATCAGGACGTTCCTTTAAATTCAAGTATGGTCGACATATTCAGATCGTCAGAACTAATAATGAAGAGACTGAATATTCTCATCGTGTTTCAAGTATCGGCCATTCCTTTGACAGTTTTAAAAAGAAAACCTGGATATTTACCTCTGTACATTAGCATCCCTCTGTGTTATGTTGATTCATGGTTTTGTCCATCACTTTCACACAGTATCTGAATCGAATTTTTTTAAACACTGTATTTACATTTGAACTTATTAATACCAACGCGGATTATATCTTAATCCACAAAATGCTCTGGAGTCTAGATTACCATAACTCCATCCATTTGAAGTCGATGTTAGAATAGGCCTGTATCAATTTTTCCTCAGAGATTAACAGTTACATTTTGTACGTAAATGTCTTTGTTAATTTTAAATGTTTAATAATTATTTATTAATTCGACGAAAAGATATTTTGTTTATTTTGCATTATACATATAATAAAAATAACAACATGATACAGCAGTGTTGTCGTTTAGGGGCTGATCGTCCGGTCAGTTGAACAAGACATTCCTTGTCCTTTAAGAGACTTTTTGGTTCATTACAGAGCCCACAAGGGCCCACAACTCGACCGGATATATCCACTGAAGCAGTACACCTCGGAAACGTATTTTAATACAACTTCCTGCTATTTTAACATCAATTTACTTTGTTCTTAATAACATCCAAAACAAATTAGAGTCTTTTTTTAATTAAACAAAAGTTCTTTTTAATTACCGAGCCGTTAATTCTTTCCACGATTCACATAACTTATTTCTCAGTTTCCTTTTGGAACAATTTAATTACGTATTCTCTGTTGGTTTTTGTGTGGCCAGAATGTGTTTAAATACTCACAAAGAGCTTCATGGTGCGCGTGCGTGGCTGTCAGTCCCAACTTCTTCCGCTGTGAGTCAGGTCGAGCTGCTGTGTGCCTTTATACCTTCGTCGTAATGCTTCCGTTAGTGTTTTGTTTGTTCTTACCTCTAAGTGTGACTTGGCACAATCGCACCACGCAATGGAAAGCCGCCTCTTGAAAACAATGGGAGGGGAAGAAATGCTATTAGTAGAAGAAGATGATATTGCCTGCTCACTACACTTAGTTTCTTTCCAAACAAACCACAAAAATTTGAGCATCATATTGAACACGATGCGACGAAAGTGGCCATTTCATTTCATCTGCTTACTCACGTTTTTTTTACTTAAGTATCTGTAATGACGCTACATTATAAAAACTGACTGACGTTAACACTTCTGTTTTGTATTCACATATATATTTATTATTCAAGTCATATACACAAACTTTTAAATTATTGATGTTAAAATTTAAAATTTAAAATTGTTATTCTGCGCCATTCATCGTTATCTCGATGTTACAATGTTGCGCTTTAATATTTCTACATGTTTCGATGTCATAGCAGCATCTTCAGGTTTTTATATTTAAAACTATTCTATATTTATTAATGCAAGCTTTTCGTTGATTGTAGATTACTATTGTGGGTGTTTTCTTTGATCTTATTATTTTGCATATTATGTTGCATATTATGTTAGTTGTTCATTGTTCTGTGAAATTATTAACAATATAATTAATTATTTAATTTTAAATTTTAACATCAATAATTTAAAAGTTTGTGTATATGACTTGAATAATAAATATATATGTGAATATTAAACACAAACATGACGCATCAAAACTATATACTTCTGTTTTGTATTCAGAAGGTCGGGGTTCCGAACCTTAGAGCAAATTCTTGAATTTCGTCTCTCCCCCCAGGAAAATGTTCGTAGAATACCGTAAAACGTATCACGACTCTGTAAACACAGAAATACGCTTCCTTGCTGGTAACATTTGTGTTCCTGAAACAGTAATTCCCCTCAGTATGAGCTTTGTCGTCACAAACAAAACAGAAAATTTCCCTGTCACAATCTACAGCCACAAATTTACAGTTTATTTCATCACTGACACGGGAAATAGGTATATTTGATAACTACAGGGTGGGTGGGAAGAACGTAGGCATTAAATAATCGATATGCATTGGAAATATAGAGATTATAAACATTTCTCAATGCATACTTACTTCCCACTCACCCTGTATGTTTGTGCTTAGAATGAAAATCTGTCGTCGGAATGATCCCCTATCCAAACAGTCTTAAGGCTTGTCATAAGGCGCATTAAATATCTCAAATCAACTTACGAGTCTCCTGGTACGATGTACAATCGTAGTGGTCGATAGTATCGTTAGGTATCGAATAATTAAACTTCGATTTAGGAACTATCCGTAACGCGGCGTGCTTAAGGTCTTGGGACGGGGGCCATGTTGCACGTTTCCGGCGGCCAGAGGACAGTAGAGAAGGAACAAGTGAACCTCACCACCGACTCTTTTATTCTCATCCTGTAGGTCATTTTGTTCCGAGAAACTTTCTACCCCGTCAGCAGATGTTGCTTGCTTCTTTTATTATGTGCGTGGCTTTTCACGAAAGGCGTTAAAGTTAATACATAGGTTAATGTATGTATCATCTCTAATATCACCTGGAGGAATTGAATTAACTTTGAAATAGCGTCCTGTCGTAGTGTTTTGTTTCACATAAAATTAAAACAGCCTTCTTAATTATTATTTTTTTGAAATTACTTCCTGAAAGAAATGGGGACCTGGTTGGAAATGTAAACTTAATAGTTTAATTGAACTTGACATGAAATATCTGTCCATCGCCAGAGAATGTGGTGGCTGAGTCACTGACTTGTGACTGTCTGCGGTCTGGGTTTGATTCGTGATTCATTTCAGGTTTTTAAATGTCAGTAAGAAATTGTGTTACAGCTGTTTGCTAGCCAGTGTCTGTATAAGTTGCGTCTATTTGCCTTTCTTAACTACTTCAGACAACTCGGTGACGCATGTAAATATAAGATTTGCGAGAGACTTCAGACACAAAAACATTGACAGATTATTGTAACTGGATAACATGTGGGATTTGAGGTTTTCACGACGTTGAGTCTGAAGATTGCTGTCTTCTGGGTTGTAATGCCGTGTATTCTGCTAGAAGTTTACCTACGTTTCAGACTGATACAAGAAATGCAGACCTAAATTTGAGTCGGCCTTTGTACATCAGCAAAAATTTATCATGGCGTCCAATTAAAGAATTGCAAATTCTGCCCGACAAGCAAAGGAAGTGACCTTTATATGATTTACTTAATTTTATTTGATCTTCGAGTAAAATGTATCCTGTGGATAATACTGGGAATATATTAATACGCTACTAATAGAATTTTTAAGATATATCAAGGAACATTTCAGAGTGTACGAAATTATGAACCTGGTGTGTTCAAAAATGCATAAACAGAAAAATAAATAGTTATGGTTGAAAGCATTTAGGAACGCGTTTCAATACAGCGTACAGGCTGCCAAAACTTGCAAAATAAGAGATCTGGACACACTTTGGAACAGTTCA